CGCACACACCTGCACGCGCGCTTCACTCCACGAGCACGCACGCACCTACACGCGCCTAGCACCACTCCCGCGAGATCCAGCAGCAGCTTGTCTCGCACTGACCTTGTCGTCGGCCATGGCTGACCTCGGCCGCATGGACGCGCCCGAGCTCCGGGAGGTGGCGTCCGGGGTGGGGGGCGTGCGGGAGCGGTGGCAGCTCGTCCGCCTCTTCTTCGAGCTTCAGTGGGGGTTCTCGCGCCAGCGGGGATGGCGGCGACGACGCGAGGTCGCCGGCGCCCAGAGAGAGCTCGTCGTCGAGATTCTTGCTGCGTGTAGTCCTCCCCTGTCCGCGCCGGGGCTCCATGCCTGCGGCCAGCACCCTGCCACCGGCGGTGCGCCCGTACGACAGAGCCCAGGAGGTGGCGTCGGGGGGAGAGAGAGAGATGGGAGGAGGAAGAAGGAGATGGGTGGATGACACGTGGGGCCCATGCCTCCTCTGCCAGCTCATTTGCCACCATAATTGGTTAATCTATTTTTTGCATTTAGTCCTTGCCACGTCAGCCCGATAAGTGGGCCCAACTTGTTAGTTTTTCTGTTTGCCTGAGCTTATCAGACAACCAGTGCTCTGTGTTACAGGTTAGGCGCAATTTCAATGGTTTTTTGTGCCATGGCTCGGTGTCTCGTGGCTGAGTGTTCACGCATGTATGTGTTTGGCAGAAGAAAACATTTGTCAAACGGATCAAGGAAAAAAAATATGTGAAAGGAAAACTTGTTAGGCAAACGGATCTGTCATACTACTGTACTTGAATGCCAACCAAGATGAATCACTCGTTTGCATCGCTAGGTCCCAACCAATGGTTTCTTCATTTGTTGCCCATGAGGGAGTAGGGGACACCGCCATGCGCCACCCATCACTCTCAGGTGTCCTGTTTTCCGTTTTCCATTCTCGGTGATCCAAGCTAGCGTTAGTCGCCTACAGTGTCGATTCAACACCGACTAATCCATGCACACCACACCACAGTCGGGAGGCCATGCGTGCGTGACGTGTGCGAGTGAGAAATCGGGCAGACGACCAACCATCTCGATCGCGATCAGGCAAGGCTAGGAGGGTCCTGCCGCCGCCGTCGTCCCCGGCCGGCCGCCGTTCGTACGAGCACAGCGACCCGCCTGTCACGTCCGCGCTCCGGCGGGCGTGTCACCGGCTCACCGGCCGGCCGTCGAGCCCGACATGTCTCGCTCGAATGGCTAGATCGAGCAATCGGGTCCATGTTTCCTGCTGCATGGACCGCCGATCGATGCCGACACCGCCCTGTTATCCCTGGTCCAGTCGCCCGGAGATAGCGCCATGCAGGGACCGACCGGGACGGACGGCCGGCGTCTGCGTTTCGGCCGGGGGTCGATCGGGATCGACGAACGCACGACGATGCAGCATGATCTTGATGTGTTTCTGCCCCT